TAATTGATGTACGTTTTTCACTTTTTTAGACAATTTTACAATAAACTTTTTATACATATGCACGATGTCGATCATCCGTCGGATCGTGCATACGGTTTTTCGTGATCCCTAGTTGGTGCAGACTGCCAAACCTGGAGACCATCAGGTCTAGTGGGACGTGACTTCTAAATTCTCCAGCAAACATTCTATAAGCTCTTAGTTTGGAATTGAAATTTCTTAAAGATACTAATATCTAATTTTATATAATAAACCTATATTATTAAAAAATAAATATAGAACTTTTACAAATGCAAAAAGAAATTGTAAAAGGAAAAAATTTGACTGGCAGTATTAATCACATAAGGATTTGCTTTTTTGAGTAAGGATCCTAACGATTTTCTTCAATTCTGTATTCGATTTTCAAGTTTATATTAAATTTAATAGGTGGAGTATATCCCACCATTATTTTTAATAGTATTCCAAACCTTATGTGATTCTGTTTGATTCTATTTGATTTCAATTTTCGAAACCATATTTTTGAGAGCCTAGACTGCTAACCAGTATGTCAGAAGTATGCAGTTATAAGTAACTTTATCTTAAATACCTAACAATATTACTATTCCATATACCATTCAAGAAGAATAATCATAGAACTATCTTCTTGTCTTACTCAGCTCCCAAATTTCTTTTAACAAAAAATCATAAGCAGCTTATCCCTATTAAAAAATTGGTATAAGTTAATTATGTCATATTGATATCCAGATTACCAATTTGGACAAGATTCTCGATTCCTAATCATATTATCTTTGGCCATATGATTACACAGGTCCAGGCTACAATCCAAAACCCAAGCACTACATTATTCCTTACCATTACCACTTATTAAACACATATGCAAGGTTTACAATACAATTAGTAGTTAGCTATTTTTTATCTTTTTTTTCTTTTCTCCTACTTGAGTTTTCAAAGGTTCGCATATATCAACTTTATTTGTAATAGGCTAGAATTAATCTACTTACTTTATATGCTAGAGATTATTAATATAATAATGAAAAAATAAATGTTTAATAAATGTCTTGTATTTAATGCCTATTTGCAAAAAAAAAAAATATGAAACTTTTATTATTATTACTAGCTTATATTACAAAAGTAATTAGAATCTCTAATTATTATATATTATTTTATTAAATTCTTCAACTATCAATATAATACCTGTAACTAATGATAGGTTTCTAAATTAAAAACTAAAATATAATTCAAATATTCCTTATTATTAAAAAAGTTTTTTCTAAATATAAGATCAAAAAAAAATTACTTATAAAGATTTTTTGCAATTTAGATTACTTAATTCAAGTATTTTTTAAATTATGTTTTTATTAAAGTAATAAATAAATAATTATGTTTCTTTAAAAAGGATATAATTGATCTATGAAATTTTATATGCTAAATAATTTAGGAATTCATCCTTACCTGCAATTAATCTAATTTATTGTTAACTGCATTCATTAGTTATTATATTATTTTGGATACTGTAAAATATAACTTCTTAAATACTTTTGAATAATAATAGTTATACAACAATTTTTTAAATATATCTAGTCTAACTATTGACAAATAAACAATATCAAATTTGATAATAATGATCATATCAATCTTTTAAAAGAGATAAATTATCTATTCTTTTTTTGTAAAGTCATAAAAAAGAGAAAATTCTAAAGCCCATATCTTGAAAAAAGTTATCAATTCTTGATATGGTTCTTGAGAAAAAGAAGTCAACTGGTCAAGAAAGTAATGTTATAAAAAGTGAAGTTTATAAAAGATAGAAAGGCCTAGAAAAAAAAATCTTTAGAAAGAAGAAAAAACCTAACTTTGACAGGAAAAAAAAAAGAAAAGAAGAGATATGAAATATAAAATAAAATATATAAAAAAGAAGGGAGAAAATAGGAAAGAGAAAATAAAAAGATATGGGAAAGAAAAGATGAGGAATGGAGAGGAGAAGGCGAAAAAAAGTAAACAACTCAAAAATTTCCTTAAAAGGAAATTTTCAAGCATAGATAAGAGAATGGAAAAGAGTTTTTTTTTTTTTATAATACATTTATTTCTATTTTGATTAAAAATTTATTATAATTAATAATTTATTATCTTTATTTTATTTTATTAATTTAATAGTCCATTTATATTTTGTAATAATTAGCTTTAAATCTAGCTGTGAAGTTTATTTAAAAGAATAATTATGTTCACAATTGAAAATTCTATATATTCTTTAGAGAATTAATCATACAATTATTCAAGTTAAAAGACGAATGTCCCTAATAAGTCTTAAATACGCACATTATTTTATACAGGAATTAATAAATTTCATAATGATTAATCAGCCGTTGCTTTTCCCTTGCCCTTGTTAACCGAATTATAATTATCAACGTCTACATTGGAATGGCTATTACCATCATTCATATGGTTGGCATAACCACTGCTCTGTCCATTATTACCATGCGAATAATTTGATGACAACGGAGACTCCATAGTAGAGATTCCTTTCTCTATTTTTTTCCCCTCTATCTGTTGAGTAAATCCCATTTGTACCATACGATAATGTTCTAATTCTTTTTCTGAGACCGAGGGGATTAGCTCCTGCAAAGCTCTCTGAAAATCTTCCTGTGTCACCTCAACAAGTGTATCTTTAGGTGTAGCCAGATGGTTAAGATAGTATTGCGACGTTATGGGAATTGGTAGATTTGGTGTCGGATGAGCATTTAAATTGACTAATCATTAAATAAACATAAAAATTTTAGATATTAAATAAATACAATTTATGAATTAATTATAACTTCACATACCAACTTTTGCTTCCACTGCTTCTGCAACCCTTGACATAGCTTTCAACATGGCGTCTGAGCAAAGCGCATAGAAGTCAGCCCCAGTATAATTGAATGGACAACTTTCCGCTACAGCTCGAAGATCTAGTGACGGGTGTAATCGGAACCTGATTAAAATAAGTTAAGGTTAATTAATTAAACGCTCTAACTTTAAAATAATAATAAATATTCTATCGCATACTTTCTTGTCAGCGCTTGAATAATTTTGAGCTGTGTCTCGTTATCCTCGCTGACACCAAGATAAAGGAGTTTGTCAAATCTGTCATAATATAAAAATATATATGTAAATTAAGAACGTAAAGTATATTTGAAATTCGATAAATCTATAAATTACCTTCCAGGCCTTAATAATGCCGGGTCCAATAAGTCCGGACGATTTGTGGCACCAATAACAAATACATCTGAAGATCCACCACCTTGACCCATTCCATCCAGTTCAGCTAACAGTTGACTAACAATTCGATCCATCACACCTCCTGAATCACCCTTCTCTCCTCTTTTGGGAGCGACCGAATCTAGTTCATCAAAAAAGATAACACACGGTTTAGCATCTCTGGCCCGCTGAAATACCCTTCGAACATTGGCTTCGGATTCGCCAATATACATATTTAGTAGCTCGGGACCTTTAACAGAAAAAAAATTTAGAGAACATGATGTAGCCACGGCTTTAGCCAATAGAGTTTTTCCTGTGCCTGGCGGCCCATAGAGCAATATTCCCGATCTCTTTTTCATGCCAGTGGCAAACAGTTCCGGATGTTCCAATGGCAATTGAATGGTGTCTAAAATATCATCCTTTACAGATGCCAAACCTCCAACATCATCCCATGTAACATTTGGAATTTTGGGAGCTCCGATACTATCTGAATAAGAAGCTCTGGCTTTACCCAAGGCCTCATCAAAATCAGCTGCGGTCAACGCAATACCAGCGTGTATAAGATCACTATCTTTCAATGCTTGTTTTTCTTTGGTTACGATTTTTTCAACTCGTTCAAGCGCAGCCAATCCAGCTCTTGCAAGTAAATCCACTAAATCTTTCGCAACTAATGCGGCAGTCTGTGTTGCCAGTGATGGTAATGAAACATCTGGTGCAACAGGAGTTTCTCTAGTCAAATTCTCTAATATCGCTAATCTGGATGGTTCATCAGGAGCTTCAAATATGATTTCATGTCTAAAACATCCTATGACGCTTGCGGGCACTTTCTCAATGTTGCTTGTAGTACCCACCACAAGAACTGGATAACCTATTGTCTGAAAATTTTCTACCAATTGTTTGAAACTATCCTGCAACACTGTAGAAATAGTAGGTTCTTGTCCAGTTTCAAGGGTCGCGCTTTTCTTAGCCAATGCGTCAATATGGCGTAGCAAGAATATACATGGTGAGCATGTCACAGCCTTATCAATTTTTCCACGAAGTGACGACTCTGTCTTCGAATCTGTTTCACCAGCAAATTCAAAGCAATTTACTTCATATACGTGCACTCCAACTCGTTCGGCCACCCACTTGGCAATCGTTTTTTTACCACAACCGCGAGGCCCATGTAAAAGAACAGTACAAGTAAGATTCAATGATGAAGCATTTGGGTGCAGACACGAAGAAATAAGGTTCAAAAGCCTTGAATATGGAGTTTCCGGTGAGGTGAGTGTTGAATCAATATGAAAAAAACTGGGGGTTTCTGTGTTGATATTGAAGTAATGTTTCAAAGCTGGCACTTTCGCATGTTCCATTCCAGTCTGAACCAATCGAGTATTATTCGGGTCCACTCGTCTACCATATCCATAAATAAAACAATTTTTATTATTTTTCAACTTCATCATGGATATCTTAAAATACACAATGAGATTAGGTTTGATCGGTAAAGTCGCAATATCCATGTCCTCCAGCTCTTCGATATCCCCCTCGGTCTTTTGTGGCCGTAAACGTGCGGCCTCTTCTACAATGAGAAAAGGGTGATTAAGAAATTTACTGGTTATAATCAACTATTAAATTTCGTATTTACCGTCTATTAGTATTGGTATTATATCTCCTTCGCATACAATTCTGTCAGCGTCCTCAAACCACTTTGTCAGACCATTGATACTCGCATTATAAATGTTTCTGTCTGTTGAATAGGGAGAGGCTATTCTTGAAACAGAAATACTTTTGGCGATAGGTGCTGCGGATTGCGCTCGCCTGATAGGCTGAATGTATAATTCTTTTTCGGACGTTGAGGTAACATTGTCGAAGTCAAGATTAAAATAAAGAACCGGTGTAATGTATGCAGGGGGGAAAGGATGCCTTTTAAAAAAAAAAAAAAGATTTTTTCTTTTTTATCAAACCATTTCTAATCTACAATGTTTCAAAACATCTTTTGCAACGCTCTGACAAATAAATGTAATTGAACGTACTCAGTTGAAGCTGGAACATCAACTGCATAAACTTTGCACATCCTGGTTTTCTCGATCTTAGGACCGGACACTAAAACCTTTGTAGTTGAATAAAAGATCAATTGGGAACTCTTGCATTATTACAATTGAAAAACAATATTAATGAATTTATCCTTACCCAACTTCCGCTCAGCAGACCTAGTTTAACTAATTCCTTCAAGTTAACCAGAACTCTCGATTCCGAGTCGTCTTTCTCATTTGGAGTTGGTTGTAACAGATTTGTTGGAAAAGGGGATTCTAAAATTAGGGGAGAAAACTTATGCTTTGACGGAGCTGGTACCTCACTATTCGAGCTCTCTTCATCTGACGATGATGAAATGTTCGAAGATGCTTTATTTGATTCTTCTTCGTTTAACTGGTCCTGTTTACTAACATCAAGGAATGCCAGTAAGAAATTGTCCTTTGGGTCTAAGATATTTTGATCCAACAATTCATTCTTATTATCAAGCTCTAAAGTACTATGACCAGATTCCTGCTCATGTTCATAACTGTCACGTGAAAATTCTTCGGACATGTCTGTTATGATGCAATTGGTGTGATCCGCAATAACCCCTTGTAGAACTGGATTACACATGAGAACCACAAAATCGAAAGATGATGCATTTGTGGACGAACTTTGTAAATGATAGATTTGTCCATGACGAATTACGATCGGAACGGGAGAAGTGCAAAGGTGATTTGAAATTACGGACGGGTCTTATTTTTATTTTGAGAATAAGAGCCGATAATGAAGTTGTCAATGGTCGAAGGACGTGGAAAAAAATTATTAAAAACTATTTAAAAATCATCCACGAAAAAATCCACTTACCGAAAATTATAAATTTGTTCAAAACACACCTCTTAATGATAATTCATAAGACTCGGAATTCAATGCGCCCAGTACAACTTCTTCCAACTCAACCGGACTTGCATTATAGATTTCAACCACGGTTCCATTATAAAGAACATTTTGTTTTGCAAAATCCTGAGAAACGTAGCAAACGTGATCCTGAAGAGAGCAAATTTGAGGCGATCAGAAATTACGAAAGAATCCGCTCGCACACTTCAAAGGATATACCTGCGAAGTCTTGAATTCGGAAGGCTGACATTTTCCATAAGTAATGATGGATGAAAAAATTGATGAATCTGAGGACTTCTCTTTGTTCTTGTTTAAGGGGTTTTTTCGAGTTTCTTTGGTCGGAGTTATGGAAACACAAGTGAAAGGTTTTAACGTCGCTCGTAAAACTACAAAACGACTGTGTTAACTAAAAGGTGATATTTATGAGGTGGACGCGTGAGTTTATTCTTTTTACCAACATTCGTCTTCATCCACGATTGATTCCTCGATTAATTCTTTCCACAAATTTTCGCTCAAACCTACTCTATTGTCATATCCGGAGTTTGTAGATGAATGGTCGTAAATTTGAATTCTTGCGACGCGAGGTACAAAAGTCGAGGTCATGGCGATACAAAACTGATTTTTCAAAGGGATCAAGGCGTATTTATGTATGTATGTCGGTGATCATCGTGATACATATTACGTATGCGTTTAATACAAAACTCTCTCTCTTCGTCTATTTATAACCCCGTCATGGAATCAATTGAAAATGAGCTGCTCATAAAAATCATCAGTTACCTGCCTCCACAAGATCTTTACTCACTCACACTAGTTAATAAAAGATATCGATCGTTATTATGGTCTACCTCCCCCGCGACCCAGACCATTTGGAGAAATTCCAGATCTCGGTTTCTGACTTATCCGTCCCTTCCGCCACCTATTTGGATGTCCGAGCAAAAATATATTTGGTTTACTTTGCTGGCTAAATCGTGTCAAATATGTTCGGCACTAATGAATGTACGAAATAATTTTCCCAAGAATTGGGAGTTTGGCATTGTCTACTGTAACAGGTGTTTCGAAGAAAATACTATAAGGTAACGCGAAAGGTCAACCGGTCATATTTCATAGATATTGTTAATCCAGATATGAAAAGCACTATTCTACAATATGCACTGGTGTTATCTTTGATTTTTTCTGTTAGTGAATCGTTTTCTTAATATTTATTTACAACCAACTTTCCAACTTCATGCAGTATCTTCAAAGATAACCACATGTACCCTCCAATCTTGTTGACTTGCGTTCCATGCATTGAACGTGGTATTGATAATGAAAGCACCGTAAGAATTTTCTGGTTGCAAGAATTAGAGGCTGCCGAAAAGGAATTCTTGTATTTATACGATAACATTCAAACGACTTGGGTTAAACAAAAACAAAAACAAGTTCTGGAGTTTATGGAACAAGTTTTTGAGTATAAAAGACAAGATCTGTTATATTTAATTAATCGAAACTATTGAGAGGAGGGTTACTTGCGTATTGAATTTTGGTGGTGAATTCGTGATTCGATTTTCGGAAGGAATTGCTTTACAAAAAAGATCGACGGTTTCAGCGGTGACTTGCATGGAAATGCGCTCTAACTAAATACACAATGTGACAATACTTTTGCTCAAGAATTTTATTCACTACGTACATATTCGGATAAAAACATATATATAGTACATGTCTAAAAGAAGTATTTACAAGAGAAATAACTAGATAAAATATATCTTACTTCACTAATCTTGACCATATTCTCAACCATGGGTCTACCGTTCTCGTTTACTTTCCACCGCAATCATCTCTCAATCGTCGTCTCCTCACCTTCCACCGTCGTCTCAATTGTAGCCTCCTCACCTTCCATCACCGTCGTCTCAATTGTAACCTCCTCACCTTCCACCATCGTCGTCTCAATTATAGCTTCCTCACCTTCCACCATCGTCGTCTCAATTGACACCTTCTTTCCCATCGTCCCAATCACCGCACCATCTTCTAATAAAGGAGTTTTCGTGGTGATAACATCGCTAGAAAGAGGTTTAACATTCGCTCCTTCCCCAACCTGAACTATCATCATCTTGCCAGTGCTAGTTTCTCTTAATTTAGCCCCTTCATCGACAACATCTCTGTATGTTATCTTCCTTACATCTTCATCCTTACGTGCGACCGATTCTACTTCTCTTCCTGTGGTCCAATATCTAACACTATAATTTTTATCATTGTCACTAGGCGTTGTAGAATACTTGCTGTGCTCATTGTAGTCGTTAGCGATATTGCGAACTCCAACTGAGCTGCTCTGATGTTTTCTTCGTATACACCAAACACTCAAGTGATATAATACTTGAATGATGTTGAATAAGATGATAGCTGAAGTTATCATAAGCGTTATCAACGGAATAATGTTGTAGTTTAAGGTCCATGTTATGTAAAGTATCTTAAATTTGAATTTTGGAATAAGATTTTTTGCCATTTGCAAGGATCGCATAGTCTGTTCGTTCTCACATACCTGGATGATAAATTGTGGAAGATCCTTTATAAAGAACGAAAAAATTTCGATCCACAAAAGATACTTTAAAGTCTTCCCTGAATAAGGGGCACTAAAAACTTTCAGTCCATATAAACGGGAGGAAAGAACTCTTAATGCGTATATATCTGCACCGGAAAATATTGTGAATATTATGACAACGAAAATGTGATCTTGGAACCAATCGTGAAATTGAGAGTTCGTGTTGGCATCTCGAATTAATAAGAAAGTGCCGGAAATTCCTTCTAGAACAAATGCTATTATGATAATTGATAAACTGATATTCCACATTTCAATGTGGAAATTTAAGATAGTTCGAAACAGCAAATTAAGAATTTGAAAGGTATGTCAGCAATAAAAATAGTTATTGAGAATAATATTTGAATTATAAAGAAAAAAATTTTTCTTTTTTTTTTGTGCGAACCTTGGAATATAAAGAGCTTGAACATCGCGGGAGTTTGTAAAAATGAAGATGACATTGAAACAGAAACTCAGCAGTAGCAGAGCGAATTTGAATATCACACTATTTTGAACCTATTTTAAATAAAAAGAAATTAGCGGTCAAATACTAAAGAGAGGAAAGACTGGAGGCAAAGCGCCTAATGTGTAAGACAAAATTTTCGTATGAACCTGATTATTTTTATGACGAGCAATGAAAAGCATCAATGCAAATAATGCAAGTCCAGAGGCGAAACCTATAATTCCATCTTTATAAAGGTTCCATAAGTCGTCTTTAACAGGAATCGTAACAAGTTAGTAAAAAAAAAAAACTTGTAACAATCTGACAAAAAGAGGTCAAAAATAGTTTACCTTTTCGCACCGCCCCATATGTTGCATCTAAAAAACTCGCATTTATCGTTTTCGATAGCGCTGTAAAATCTTTCATGATTATCATGGTATTCAAATCTTCGGACAGGTAGTAAGAACTCCCCTTTGAAATGTTGGAAGCGGCCGTAATCAGGATAGCGAAAATTATTTTATTTGAAGTGGTTTCATATTGATATCGGTTCAAGGAGAGTAATCGATCCTCCTCAGTAGGAATGATATGTGTAAGTTCGGAACAGATCGAAGTGAAGAATGTAGATTGATCGGTTGAAGAGAGATTTTGGAAGTATCTCGTGCCTTCGGGTGATAAACGGAGCAAGATGGATAACGAGTCTGTAGAGCGATGGGATTTTTTTAAATTCTCGAATTATGTATTTCTAATAAACAGTTAATATGTATTCGTTAATATTCTCTCGTAACCAACCAGAGTGAGGCTCCGTCACAGACTCATCCGTCCACATAATCCAAATTCCTTTTGGTATGCCCAAGAGGGGTTCATTTGACGCATTCACTACTACGAAATTAGGGTCAATCACAACATAATACTTGGTGTTAGGTTCGTTGAATGTCGAATCGAATACGGTAATGGTGACTGTTCTTTGGTCTTCACTAAGTTCACAGAGATTTGATTGGCCAGAGTAAGTCTGTCGAAGTAAGTCAGCTTCATCAATAGGCCTAAAGATACTGACGTTTTGTGTTGAGAGCGAAACTGGATCTTGGTAGGTAATGTTTATACGGCTGGCGCGTAACGGGATTTGTGCATTTACTTTCGGATAAGTGGAGTTTATTTGTGGATTGGAATAAGCTGAAAACGGTTTATTTTATGATTAGAATAATAATTAGAATAATCATTTAAATGTACAGGGGAAATGCTAAAGTATGCTTACGACCTGTTGAATTTTGTGCTGTCAAATCGGATGAAACAAGCATTATTTCATTTGTTGTGTCATTCATTACCAAGGAAACTATTGTATCATTCGGAAGCAAGTCGAACGCGTGAGGGTTTGGGGGTATCAGCATTGGTTGTGGCAAGGTCCTTATTTAAAAAATGGGAAATTATTATGGGTTCTCGTGTTCACATTCATTTGAGAATTGTATTTTCTTTGCCTTTATACCAGTTGTTAATGACATCTGCCGAACCTAGGATGTACCCGTATACGTATTGGATCGTGAGCATGCGGACTGTTAGCAAGTATCTATTTTACATTATCGTGATAAATTATTAAGTCAAGTTGAATAAACTTGAAACACGTGAACGTACCCTCCATAAATTAACGAATTGATCTGTGCGTCATTCGCATTCGTTATTTCTTTCGCATATATTTCCTGTATTAATTTTATCGCCCTATTTAAATGGAAATCATACACTCAAATTTGAACTTGGAAAAACAAAACAAATATACAATAAACAAATAATAAATAAATAAATTACCCAGTAGATTGGAAGACAATTTTTAAGCCATAAGGATCTGAAATATTTCCTTTACGCAGCACATACAACTGACACATATTTCCACCACCTCCGTAATCCACGTTACAGCTCATCATGAACACATCCAAATCCGGGAATGGATTTGAATAAATTAAGGAATGTGTCGTAATGCCTGCACTATTAGATATAAATGATGCAGTGACTTTTAAACGGACGTCTACCGGATCTTCTACTGTAATATTCGTGGAGAGATTTGGACTTGAAGAGGAATTCGAGGAAACAATACTGTACAGTTGCTCGCGACCATAAACACGCGACACCACCAAACAGAACCCTCCAGAGAAACTAGGGAAACCGGAAAATTTGACGGCTACAGAGCTGCCACCATCATTGTAGATCAAATCACCTTTAACAAGTGTGATACTAAAGTTGTTTTCCAAGTTCCTGATTTTTGAAACAAGATGCAAATCAAGAATTTAACCTTTTGAATTACAAAATGGCGCTTGTTTCTGTTTCAAAAACTTGCTCCCTAAAACCTACGGTGTGGTGAAATGACTCCACATAATATGCCCGGTGTTTTGTTGTATCCCGACATATAAGAATCCAACGTTATCCTTATATTTTGAATAATATATGGAGCCTGGTGGTTGAACTACCCCATTACGATCAACTGATGCCTCGTGTAAATATGTATTGCTAAATTAGGATGAATTAAAAATGTTGTTTTATTATGGAGTAATCAATCAATGGCGATAATAATTCATACCTAATAACATCTTCATTAAAAGAAGTCAAAAGTCCGTATACAGCAGCCGTCGAAGAATCACTTGAATTTACATAGGTGATAAAAATAAACCCATATGCCAGTGGATATGCTTGAATATAATATCTAAATATTCCATTAATATTTATTGTGCAGAAGTTAAACGATGGAATTTCCGAGGTCCTCACGGAAATCGATGAGCGTGTTCCATTTGGATGTATTATTCGAAAATATAAAACAGGTTCGACGCAACTCAAATTATAAGATGATGTTAACTGGATTAAAATCGTGCCGTCCCCGTAAGTCTCTATGTCGTAAGGCGTGAGATTGGCAGTTTGTGAGTCTTGAAATTCAAGAATTTTGTAGCCTTGAGGTAGTGGAACAAGTAGATTTATCAAGAGGAGAGTTACGAAAATTATGTGAGATATGAGGGATAAAGAAGTTATATCTGGAGGGGTGGCGTATTTACATTGGAGAGGCTTCATCACTGATATTCTGATTATTACTATTTACTATAATTAATGCAAAGATTTAAGGAATTTGAATATCTAAAGATGCTTTACAATCCTAACGGTACTATATTAAGAAAAAGAAGGATTCGCATCTCCAGAAATAAAAAAGAGCGTCCCATACAATCTAAAATCTAATTTCGCATACATGATCTCTTTGAATTTTCATAGAAACTATAAGCCCCATATGAAATAAACACTCTTCGCCACGAGTTAAGGCGGGTGACTGTTTTGGAATTTACCGTAATATCTTTCGCAAATCTCTATTTGATAACCAATCGATCGAAAACAAACATTTCGTTTTGACGGCAATTGGAAATACATTGATCGGGCCAACTTAAAAACATTGTCTTTTTTTCGAACATATAATGGTGCAATTCCTTAAAATGCACGCCTTTCTTCTTATTCAACATTTAAATTTGTTTCATGATTCTTAGCTTTACCACTATAAACGGCAGTAAAACGTTTTGTAATACACGTTAAGAAAAAAATCATGAACATTTCAAACAAATAAGAATGGAAATGTTTAAAAAATGATAATAATAATAATAATAATTACATATTATTATTATTTCTGTAATCAAACATGCATTTATTGTAATTATAATTCATATTTATATATTTGAATTTTTTTTCATATACAGTAAGTATATTTTTAAAATAATATTAATACGGCTTCATGTAATTAGATAGCAATTAATCTTATATAAGGTATATATAGACTTTGAAGTTTATTTTATTGTATTCTTGAATAGTGTTAGAAATATAAATAAATCATTTTTAAGTCTTACACTAGTCAAAATGGATTTATTCGGCATAATGCCACTCATCAATCATTCGTCAAAAAAGTATATAATTTGGCTAATCAAAATTATATAACTTTTATCTTCGGCTATAAAGCAGCATATAATTTATTCGGCACATAAATAGTACACTTTTTTTAAACCTCATTT